GAGAGAGAGAGAGAGAGAGAGAGAGAGAGAGAGAAGCAAAGAAAGAAAGGAAGAAAGAGAGAGAAAGAAAGAAAAAGAAAGAAACAAAGAAAGGAAGGAAGGAAGGAAGAAAGAAAGAAAGAAAAGAAAGAAAGAGAAAGAAAGAGAAAGGTAGGTCACTAGCCACAGGGAAGGTGTACAGAACAGTGTACATGAAAGATATTTGTTGAAAATTATTATTATTATTATTTAATTGAGGATCTTCCTACTTGGGTAGGAAGAGTGGCAGGGGATGGACAATCAGTGACCCACACTGTATTGAGAACTTTGCCGATTTAACCCAAGAAGTGAAGAGTTCTTTTCTCTTTATATCTGGAAGGAGCTCGTTTCACGGTGACCCTGGGCCTGAATGAGGATTTGATGTGTATCTTAGGGCAGTATGAAACTGCTTGAGAACAACTGGTTACCAGACTACAGAAGGTCACCCTGGGAGTCCCACCAGCATGCTGCCCTGGCGCCCAGTCCCTTGATTCTCTACAAGGGAAAAGCTGGAAAATGTCAGGCTTAACTTGTGCCCTCAAACCTAGCACCACCTGATTCATGGCACATAGTATTTGCTCAGTAAAAATGAGGGGAAGCAAAGGACAGGGAGAAAGGCAGGAAAAGAAGTGACGAGGGAGGGAATAAAGCCTTTGTGAGTCTAAAAGGAGCTTGAACCTTCTTCACTCCAAAGGTAGAAAGCAGTCTCATATTATCCTAAAAGACTGGCAAAAACAAATACTACCTCCAAAAAAATTTAAATTCAAGTAACTCTTTAAGGTCCATCTGACTTCACAGCTTAGAATAAGCGAGTTTGAAACTGGCCTGCTATTGTCTGGAGTCTGATGTTACCATTTTTAAAGGCAGTAGGGATGTGGAGTCACTAAGAGGCATCAAAGTGGCCTGTGAGGTGTCTTGCGGAGTCACAGAGCTTGTTAGTGTCAGGAGAAAGACTCGAACCCAGGTCTCAGGTGTTCCATCCCGACATGTCTCACACTGCAATTTCCTATGCAGAGCAGAAGCAACAGTTGGCTCTGGATCCCATTTCTGCCTATTTCTTGACCCAAATCAGTTCACATTTCCTTCCTCAGAAACCCTCCCAGCTCCAAGCACTTCACAGAGCACCACAGGACTTTGCAGAGCTTGTGTGAGAAACCCACGTTCATAGTCATTAAAAAGTGACTGCTGGTTCCACATTTTATTAGTCTAAGTTTGTTCCACGACACCCGCCTCTACAGCTAACCAGCAATATTGCCTCTCAGCCAACTATGTCTAAAGTTTCCTGCTCTACCTGGTGTCTCCATTGACCTAATTAATTCAATACAGGACCTGGCCACCTGACTTCTAGACAAAGGGTTCAAATTCCACTTCGCTTGAAGTACTCTGTTAGCAATGACCCATACCCTCAGGTAAACAAAGACACCCTCAGCGCTCACGTCCTAGAATGGCAAGACTGTTGTGTGCACCGTCGAGCTCTGGAGTGTACAGGAAGGACATGGAGGCTCATGAATTGGCACTTCCGCCTTGTCTTCTCTTTACTACAGGGCAAGAACTGAGCAGGAGGCCCACTAGAGTACTTAGCCTGCCCTCCAGTCAGAGATGAGCTAGCCGGAGCGCCTAATTTATATACCTCGGTCAGAAAAACAGGAACCCTGAAGTAAAACAGTTTCCCATTTCTCTACATTCTGATTACTCCCTACTTTCTATCCCTAAGGATTTTATCAACCCATCCCTTCCAGGATCACATAGAAAGCACCCTGGGAAGAGCTGCGAAATACATTCTCCTCCCCTTGCATTTCTATGGGTAGGTTAGAACACTGATGCCATTTCACTGCCCCTAGAGCTTAGTCCTCCAAGCAGTTGTCCAGCTGGTTCATCTTTTGTCTGATCCGGATGAGAGCTATTACTTGAAGGAAGAGCCAATCTACTGGGGAAAGTGCCGCTGGTGTTCCTCCTCTCCAAAAGGCTGGGCAGCCCACCTACAAGGTCTTCTCGATGATGGTATTCAGGGACCGGTGTCCAAGGAGCTCAGCAGCAGAAGGGAAGCAAGATGGGAGAAGGCCACGCTCTTCCGAAGGAGTGAGTTTTCCTTCAATCTCAGCAACTGTAAAATGATAAACCACAGGTGCTAAAGTTAAGCCACCGAACAAGTAAGGATCTATCTCAGCAAATATATGCGTTAAAGGAAGTCTGCTGATGGATTTATTAACTTTTAAATGAGGCCTGTGGTTTTCCAAACAAGGCACCACAGGCAACAGGAACCCACAAAGATGCTGAGGAAGAAACTATACAGTAACTGCAATTAAGTCTGCGTGCATGAGGCATGCAGAACGTGTGGGCTAGGGTGGGACATGGTAGGCGGAAAGGAAAGACCTAAAGGACACGGAAACAGTCACTTTTTCTTCACGGTGCCGCACAGAGCTGACTTAAACAGAAAAGTGATTCTACAACTTGAATCAGAACTGAGTAAGTAGCCGGACATGGTGGCGCACGCCTGTAATCCCAGCATTCGGGAGGCTGAGGCAGGAGGATCATTGCGAGTTTGAGACCAGCCTGGGCTACAAAGTGAGCTCAAGGCCAGCCTGAGCTGCATATCGAGATCCTATCTCAAAAAGACAAAATAAATAAATAAATAAAATAAAAATAAAAGAATTGAGCAAGTAATATTTGGGGATAAACTTAGATTTAAGATCCCATCAAAAGAAACACAGTAGCCCCAGCCCTATCCAATTCCTGAGCAATTAATATGATTGGTTCTGAGTCTTTAAGAAAATAAGACAGATTGGTACACACAACCACACTCCAAGATGGTCTGGATAGAACAGCAGTCGTTCAGGGTGTTTCTGTCAAAAGCCTCACAGGAAGCTGTAGCTGGGAAGATCCCCTTCCTCAAGCTCTAAAGCAGTGTTTGGTGGTTCTGCGGGTAGTAATTTCCCTTTCCTGGACAACACACTGGCTCAGGGGCAGTGTGGCGAGGCACAGGAATCTGCACGTGGATGGGCTTCCTGAGGGTCTCTGACCCTGTTGCTATAGGAACTACCCTTGGTTACTCTGCCTGTTAGTGTTGTACAGAGGGTTAGAGGTTCTGACTGAAGAGGCTGCTCTGGGGCATATGCTCGAGCCCAAGTATCAAAGATCTGCTAACTATGGATCACAAATTGGAGACCAGGAGCCCAACACCAGCTTTATAATCTCAAAGTATGTTTAGAATGGACAAGAAAGACCTCCTCTTAGGCCTTCATCACTTCGTGGCTGACAATTTCTGCATAAGTACCACGCGCTAACCCACTGCACCACCGGAGCTCTGACAATTTCCTGTCTATGCTCAAGACCCCTATATAATTCGTCTTCCAACATATGCTGAGCCCCTATTTTGTGTAAAACTGAATGCAGGGGTGGCTGACACGAACAAACAAAAGCAAGCCCCAGCCATGCGTGGTGGTGCACTCCTGTAGCCCCAGCTAATCAGGAGACTGAGGCAGGAGGATCATAAGTTCAATGATAGCCTGGGTGATTTAGTGAGGTGCTCTCTCAAGACTTTTTTGTGTATGTGTCTTTTTTAGACAAGGTTTCACTGTGTAGTTCAGGCTGGCCTTGAGCTCACTTTGTAGCCCAGGCTGGTCTCACACTCACAATGATCCTCCTGCCTCAGCCTCCCGAGTACTGGGATTACAGGTGTGCACCATCATGCCTGGCTCAAAACTTTAAAAAGGGATCTGGGGCTATAGTAGTATACTATAGATATGAAATACCGGGTTCCAGCCCCAGTGCCCCAAAAATAACAAAGTTCACCTTACTTGTAAAAGACCTATTATGAGCAGACTTTCACATGTAAGAATGTCACCATTCCAGGGCAGTGTCACTGAGAACAGAATGGCACAAAGAAGTGTCACACAAGCATGCTTTCTAAACACACTGCCTGGCAGATCCTAAACCCCCACCCAGAATATTATGACTCGGCTGAGCCTGAGGAAAAACATCTGGAATCTGTAGTTTTAACCGGCTCCCAGGTGACTTCTACAACCAATTAGGGGTGCTGGGGATGGAACCCAGGGCCTCAAACGCGCTAGACATGTGCTCTACCACGGAGCTATACCCCCAGCTCCTCTTCTTCCTCCACTCTATTCCTAATCTACTTAAATTGGCCCCTTGAACTCACGTTTGGTTTTGCTCCTATCCACAGTCTTGACATATGCTATCTTCCTGCTTAATGTTTCCATATGTTTTCTGAGGAAGGATACAGTGTTATTCTTTAAGAAAACACACAGAGTGCCAGGGATATAGCTCAGTGGCACAAGCGCCTGCCTGGAAAGTGCAAGGTCCTGAGTTTGATTCCTGGTACCCAAAGAAAAGAAAACACACAGGAAAAGCTCATGTCCAGCATATATTGTATGATTCTATTGATAAAAAGTGTCTAAAGTGGGGCTGGGGATTTAGCTCAGCGGCAAAAGCGCCTGCCTTGTAAACTCAAGGTCGTGAGTTCGGTTCCCGGTACTGGAGGAAAAAAAAACAAAAACAAAAGTGTCTAAAGTAAGCAAATTCATACAGATGGAAAGTAGACTGGCAGTTGCCAGGAGCTAGCAAGAAGGTGGGCTGGGGGATGACAGCTGAAGGACAAGGGGTTCCTTTCAGAGACGATGAAGATATTCTACATTCTAGAATTAGATGGTGGTGATGATTACACAACTTTGTGAGTATATTAAAAAACCACTGGCCGGGGGTATAGCTCAGTGGCACAAGTATCTGCCTGGCAAGTGCAAGTTCCTGAGTTTGATTCCCAGTACCAAAAAAAAAAAAAAAAAACCCAAGGGACTGTACACATTAAGAAGGTAGGTTTTAGCCAGCTCTGGTGGCACATGCCTGTAATCCTAGCACCTGGGAGGATGAGGCAGGACGATCATTGCGAGTTTGAGAACAGCCTGGGCTACAAAGTGAGCTCAAGGCCGGACTGAACTACGTAGAGAGACCCTGTCTCAAAAAGACAAAAAAAAAAAAAAAGAAGGTGGATTTTAACATTTGTGAATTATATCATACTTTTGAAAAGCCCATAGAAAAATATGGATCCCACATGTCACATGCAGGTGAAAACCCGGCTCTTTGGGTCCTCACCACGATCAGGTGACACCCTCAGGGTTAAGAGGTAGGCAGCTGATGACAATAACAGCAACCATTTATTGGATATTATTACGTGGCAGCCATGAATTACACACAGTGTATGTTGTCTCAGTACATGGATATTTCAGAAGACATGTTAAAACCAAAGATACAGATAACATACTTACTATGCTGCTATTACTAAGATCTTACAGATGATAAAGTGAAGATGCATAACATTAAATAACTTGACCAGGCCAATAGCTAGAGGGATCTGGTGTTATAGGGGCCAAAAGATCCTTTCCCTAAACCATATCTCTTAGGAATCTGACATGTCCACCTTTGGATTTGGAGAAATAAAATAATAATAGCGATAACAATATAACTTAAGATGTATCAAGTACTTTCCACGTTATGATCCACTAAATTCTCTACAGAGGTGATCTCGTATACTCTTACAATAAAGAAGTATATACTATTGTTGCCTGTAATTGGCAAACATGTAACTTGCCCAACAGATAGTAAGAGATGAAGCCAGAATTTGAACAGATGCTTGGTGCTCAGTCACTTTGTCAGTGACCCACACTCAGATGCCCAAGGGCATAGGGCAGGGAAAGGATGAAGTGGGCCTCACTTACGTTTTGAATTACCAAAAAAAAAAACCATGTGCCCATCTTTTACTTACTCTTAGTTACATTTTTCTTGTTTCTGGGACAAAATACCTAACACCCAATATTAAGGAAGGAAAGGTTTATTTAGCTCACAGTGGATGGAGGTTTCCGTTTGTACTCAGCTGGCTCCAAGGCAGGGTGGCACACGGCAGAGGAGAATATCTCATGGCTGCAGAAAACAGCAAAAGCAACAAGAGCAAAAGGGAGGAGCGGCAAGCAGCCTCTTTCTCTCCCTTGCATATGCAAACTGCCCACCCCAGAGCGGGTGTAGCACTCACACCCAAAATCCCAGCACTGGATCATGGATCAATCATAAACTCTAGAAGCCCGCACCATGACTGCATGAGGCTTTGGGGGGACATCCAGACACCAACCATAACACCCATAGAAACATGGGACAATTTCTCTTAATATAACAAAACAAAGCACAGGACCAATGGTGACACACAAACGACATTTTGCCTGAATGTTGGGGCTATAATAGGATATGGCAGCAATGATGGCAAGGTGGAGAGAAAGCCCACTTCACCAAAAGGGGCCCCCACCATCCAGATCCAACCTTCCGTTGGAAAGTGGGTAGGTGCTGCAGTTTCACCGTATTTTCTCAGATGAGACAAAGCCAACAAAACAGTTTTCCTTGAAAGTATTTGGTTTTTAAGAGCTGACAAAGAATTTTTCAGACTAGATTGAATTTAAACCCATCCACCCTTGAGCTCTACACACAGTGAAATGGCTCGTCACTCAGCTCTGTGAAACTAGGACGTAGGATTTGCAGTGAGAAGTGATAGGACAGTCTGAAAGGTGAAGGGGTGAGGGGATGAAGGGTCTCAAGGCCCACACCAGGAAGGTAAACTTCCTTCTTCAGGCCAGGGAATGCCACAAGCTTTGTTACTTCCTCTTATTGAAGAAAAAAAAGGGACCAGATCAGAAAGACATCCTGAGGATGACGTGAAGGTAAAATAGGCAGGAAAGCTAGCTGAGACAGTGAGGCCGGATGGGAGGTAGGTGCCCTTGCGAGCCTTGAACCAAGGCCATCACAGCAGGGGTAATCACAGTGCATTCTGGGAGAACTGCAGTAGTCAACTAGCGATGAAGATCTTCCCTGATAACTAATAGATCTGTTGAGATCAAAGGAGTTCCACATGTACTAGAGCATCCACTGGTTAAAAAAAGACCATCGTGATGGAGAGGGGGATATTAGCAAACGTGAGGAGAGCTAGGAGAGTGGGGTTTCACGGCACAGCTTGTTCAAGGCTGGTTTGGCATCTATAAAGGAAAGAAAATGTTCTTGGCTAGGGAGGGAGGAGACAGCTTTAAAACTGGCTAGGAAAACAACAGT